GGCACAGTGGGGGCCGCAACTCCCCCTTGCCAGTTAAGGTCAGGTCCTGAGCCTAAACAGCTCCGGACTTGAGCCAAAATGGCTACGGAGCCTCCCCCTTCTCTCTCCTCCTCCTCTCCTCCTCTCCTCCTCCTTCCCTCCCCCTCCCCCTCCCCCTCCCCCCCCCCCCCTCCTCCCCCTCCTCTCCTCCTCCTCCCTCCTCCTCCTCCCCTCCTCCTCCCCTCCTCCTCCTCCTCCTCCTCCCTCCTCCTCCTCCTCCTCCTCCCCCTCCTCCTCCTCCTCCGATCGTCGATCGCGCGGCGGCGACGGCGGCGACGACGATGACGGTCGGCCCGGCGGCCAGCGTGACGGAAACATGGGAACATAAGCTTGGATCATCGAGCCTTGATCGATCGATGCTCGATCGCTCAGTCCTCATTGGTCCTTGATGCTCCTTCGATCGATGCTCGATTAATTTTTTGATCCTCGAGCGGTGGATCCCCGATCGATGCGATCAAATCGATGCTCGATCGATCGATGCTCGAGGATCGATGCGAGGTGCGCGACCCTCGTCTGTCGACCTTCGGTCGATCGATGCCCGATCCATCGATCCTCGACGGAGGAGGAGGAGGATGCGGAGGAGGAGGAGGAGGAGGAGGAGGAAGAACCGATGCTCGATTGTTGCTTGTTCGGTTTATGCTCGAGGATCGACCGATCGATCGTCGATCGATCGAACTTCGATCAACCGAAGCCTACAGTCAACCCCCACGGTCAGGATGGGCAACCCTCCCAGGGGTACCCTTTGCATCCCCGCCTCCTCTCGGATCTGCACGAACGAGATGGGTACGGAAAGAATGGGTGCAGTGCCCAACAGCGGATCCGGTTCCTTTTGAGCAGGACTCGCTGCCCGCGCCGCCGCGGCCCGTGTCCATTTGAGACAGAAGGCCGCCTGCCCAGCAGCGGCCGCTGTTGGTTTGGGACAACATCTCAGAGCCCCGAATCATCAGGGGTAACTCGGGTCAGGGCTACCTCGGGTTCGTTTTTCGGGAATCAGAACCCGACTTACCCCGGATATTTCGGGCGTCCAGAGCCCCGAATCATCAGGGGTAACTCGGGTCAGGGCTAACTCGGGTTCCTTTTTCGGGAACCCAAACCCGAGTTACCCCCGACCCGAGTTACCCCGGATAACTCGGGCGCCCAAGAAGACCGCCTGCCCAACAGCGGCCGCTGTTGGTTTGGGACAACATCTGTTGTTGGGCATTGTACCCATTGTTTCCGTGCCCATTTCGGGCGTCCAAATGTGAAGGGGCCCTGGGACACACGAATAAATACACACAAATGAAAAGAGTCCCCATATTTTCCCATAGTTTCTGTTTTTTTTTGTCTTCCCCACCACTTCCCATAGTTTCCTATATTTTCTGGGGGATCGACGATTCATTGTGTCTGTGTGTGTTTTTTTCCTCCCTGAAGATGGGAGCGCTGCCGCGGCGGGCGCCTGGCACGCCCCCGCGGCGGCCGCGGCGGGTTGGGAGCTCCCGCCGTCGGGGCCGCCGCCTCCTCGGCCACGGCGCGGCTCGTGCTGCTCGGCGCACACAAGGGGGTAGGGGGAGTGGGGAAGGCTTCTTAGAAGGAGGCTGCATGCAAAAGACAGCGAGGACTGGAGCGAGCTCGCGGATCGCCAACCGGCGCAGGCGCGAGCCCCTACCCCCCCCCCGCACGCTGAAATCTGCAGGGTGTGAGCCGATTCGGGAGCTGTGGGCACGCGAGGGAGCTCGCGGATCGCCATGCAACCAGCGCTGGTGGTTGACTGATACAGACATCAACATCAGACATGCCAACGAAAGCGAGGACTGGACGAGCACTTCACCCTCATCGCGCGTCCTTCTTGCACGGGTCGACCGCGTCGGAGCCGCCGAAGGGACCCAGGGTGCGTCCCAGACCTCGGTCGTCGAGCCCTCCACCCTCGAGAGCCGTCCTCGGGGCCCTCGAGCACCTTGGAGCGATCTTCGAGCGATGCCCGAGCCCCGAGCGCCCGCTCGAGGGATCTCTGGCCCTCGATCCTCGATCCTCAGGGCGATCCTCCAGGAGGAGGAGGAGGAGGAGGAGGAGGAGGAGGAGGATCGCCCCTCGAGCCTGAGACCGTTTGGCTGTGCAGACTCCTCAAGTTTATTCGCGTGGGCAGGGGGGGGGAGCTGAGAGGTCTCTGCAGAGCCAGGACAGCTCTCTCCGACCAGCAGGGGGACTTTCCAACCAGAAGACGTTCGACGTGATCTGCGTGCGTGGAGGGTGCCCTGCCTGGTTGTAGAGTGACCTTCCCGGGAAACCTCTGCTGGTTGGAAAGTGCCCGTTGTTGTACAGAGCCTGTCTGGTTGTAAAGAGGCGTACACGCGGGGGGGGTGAGGCTCGGAAAGAAATCTAGACTTCACGCAATCCGGGACTGCCTTGCAAGTCTTCCCGGTCCACAGCTGAGACAAACAATCGGCAGGAGGGGAGGGGCACAATGTCACGCAAGTAGCAGCTTGCCAGAATCTGAAGACAAACAGGCTCCCCCCGATCATCTGATTTTCGATCGATCTTCGACCAATTGGCCGACGACCGATCGATGACGACGAGCGCGCGTTCGCGACGCTCGGAACCATCGACCGATCGGGGCTCGATCGCCCGAGCTATCGATCGATCGATCGCTCGAGGACCGAACGATCAAGCATCGATCGAGGATAGGTACTCCGAATCTCTAACCCCCCAGGCCAGCCAGGAAAGGCAAGCCATCCCCCCCCCCCCCAAAAAAAAAAAACAGCCATGAAATTGTGGACTTGAGCCCAGACTCCCTGGAACATTCGAAAACAGCTCAAATCAGATGGTGTTGTTGCGAAGGCTCGTGACAAGCACATGAGCAGTTCAGACAGGCTAGCGCGGTGCGCAATACCTCCGTACAGCTGTCTTCTGGCTGTCTGCTGGGATGATCGCTACATTCTCGCTGGGAAGACCGCAGGCGTCGCAGACCGCAGCAGCGTGCTTGCCGACTTCTCCGGGCCACGTCTGACTAGGACGACCTCTTTGCCTTGCGCCCGGTGGCTTTTTCGGAACACACGGGGAGAGGGGTAGAGAGGAGTGGAGGAGGAGGAGGAGGAGGAGGAGGAAGGAGGAGGAGGAGGAAGGAGGATGGGGAAGGCGGAGGCACAAAAATAGCGTCTCGGAGAGGCACAACATTAGCTGCTCAAATCGACCCGCCCTCAAAATCAGGCCCCCCCGTTCAATTATAAGACTTGGGGTAGTCGAGGACATCGGCCGACGACCGCTCGACGACGACGTGCGCGCGCGCGGCCGGCTGGGACGGCCGCCGCGGGCGCGCGGCCATGGTCGATTGGTGTTCCATCGATATCGATGCTCGATCGATATTCGATCAACGATTTCGATGACGATGAGCCGACAGGTCGACCGAAAACGACGAGCCGACGACTGCTCGGTCGAAGCGTCGACGACCGAACGACCGACGACGACGGCGAGCGGCCCGGCGGGCACGTCGGCCGGAGCGGCATCATCGGCCGCGTGCCGGTACCCGATCGATCATCGATCGGGGATCGATCGATCGAGTACCGATCGATCGAGCATCGAGGTTCGATGAAGGACCGATCGTCGATGATCGAGTATCGAGGATCGGCCCTCGAGTATTGACCGATCGAGCATTGGTTCGATCGTACCGATCGAGGATTGATCGATCGAGCATCGAGGATCAATCGAGCATAGATCGAGCATCGATCGATCGAGCACCGGATGCTCGGTCGGTCGATGTCAGGCAAGCTTTGGACTGGGAGATGTCCCTCCAGCGCGTTCTGGATTGCTCTCGGAGCGTTGCGGGACGCTCTGAGAAAGCCACGCGCCAAACACAGCCCTTGGAACCGCGGGATCTCAGAGATTTCCGTGTTGTGTTGAGCCGAGTTTGCCTGGATCTGGCCTCTGCATTCGTTTGACGATGCTCGACCGTTAGGTTGTAGTTCACGGAAGCTTGAGTTCGTCTTATCAGCGACTAGTTTCCAATAGCGCTCAATAATGCCAAGCAGCGCCAAGTAGCGCCGAATAGTGTTCAAATAGCGCCGAATAGGAGTGCCCACATGGCGCCCAACAGCACCCACTGGCGCCATATGAAGGACATGCGTTACGTCCGCTTTGCGCATCATTTGACGCGATATTGGGCGCCACAGGGACGACCAACGGCTTCTGTGAGCTGCTTGCTCGCACTCGGTCGATCGGTTCTCGAGCGATCCACCGATCGGCAGCTCGCGAAATGGAGCCTCGATCGAACGATCGCTCGGAGCGGAGCGCGCGCTCGCTGGTCCTCGATCGACCATCGGTCCATCGAGCATCGGTGAGCATCGATCGGTCGATGCTCCATCGCCGTCTGTCGATCCCCTGAGAGATAAGAAATGACGAATCGAGGGGGAGGGGGAGGAGGAGGAGGAGGAGGAGGAGGAGGAGGAGGAGGAGGAGGAGGAGGAGGAGGAGGAGAGGAGGAGGAGGGCCTCTCCAGAACTACTGGAAAGCACCAGGGCTCTCGCTGTGCTCGCCTGCTGGGCCTATAGGGCGCTGTCAGCTCCACCGGAGCCAGAAAAATTGTTTATTTACTGCATCAACCGTGGATATAGATAGATACAGCCGTCCACCGCCCCAACCAACCAACCAAGGTGAGACGGGTGCTCACACTGTGGAGCGAATCTCAAAATTCATCGACCACCGATCCTCGATCGATGCTTGAGCGCTCGGATCTCAGGTGATCCACCGGTCGACCGCTCGGGCGTTCGAGTTCCTTTTCGATTGCTCGCTTGCAGCGGCGCGTCTGCGCGCGTTCGTCATCGTCGACCAGTCGTCGGCCAGACGGTCGAGGTCTCGACCGATCGAGCGAGCGACAGCTCGACAGCTCGGGCGACGACGAGCACGACGACGACGACGACGACGACGACGACGACGACGACGCCCGCTCGCAGCGGCGCGGGCGCGCAGCGGCCGCCCTCGCGCATCGCCAGGCCCGCCGCGGGCGCGCGGCCGCGCGCCCGCTGGGCCGGGACTACGCGCTGGCGCCTCTGACGGAGCTGGGGCTGCTGGGCCGCGGCGCGTACGGCGCGCCGCGGGGCTCTGGGAGTCCGAGGAGGGAGAGGTGCCGAAACCGCTACCCTTGCCGCGTTTTCCCCTCTCGGGGGGCCTCCTGGGAGGCCCTCGTCGCCACCGCTGGATTCGCTTCGAGATTCTGGACAGAACGCACCCCCGGGAGAGGTCCGGGGAGTAGCGGTACCGGTACCTTTTGGTATCCCCAGGGGGGACGGGGAACAAAGCGTGTTCATCTCCCCCTCCCTTCCCCTTCCTCCCTGGCGCTGATACGTTCTCCTCCTCTCCTCATCCCGCCTCTCCTCGCCCTCTTCCACCTCTTCCTCCTCCTCCTCCTCCTGCTCCTCCTCCTCCTCCTTGGGTACCCTGGCGGTCGAGTTCAGCGATAGCCCTCTCATTTATGTCACTGAGAACGAGGCGGTCATGCGTGGCTGGCATCAGCACACCTACGAATGCCCGACTGGGGACACTGCTGACTTGTGGTGCGCTTTAGGCAAGCTTTGCTCGAAAAGGAATTTTGACACGATTGTGGTGCTACAAGTGCCCTCGCATTTGTCAGCGGCAGACCTCGTTCGCTCGGAGCTACCTCAGTGGATGGCCGTGGGCAACGCTGCCGCGGACGAGCTCGCGGGTATAGCCGCGAAAGAGGCACGTGTTTCGCAGTTTTTCAGACACAAGGTCGCACAGGCCGAGTTGACGGCCACGCTTGTTCGCAGGCGACCTCTTCGTGCCCATCTCGAGGCAGTCATTGCCGACAAGCGGCACGGAGTCTCGGTCAGGAAGCGGTGCCCTCCCCCTCTGCTGCTGCTGTTGCCCTCTTCGCCTCCTCGCATGTGCTGTCTGACGACGGCAGGAGTTGCCAGACGTGCCATGCCAGCGCG